TAGGCTACAGGGCAAGTATGTGCGTCCCTTTGAGTCTGCACTGACTCCTGGCAATTGCCTAGATAAGTCCCTGTAGTTTTCTTGGTAACGAGATAAGAACTGCTATTTATTCATTTGCTCAAGTAACATTACATTCTGCAATTTCTGCACTTCTGTGTATTGGATTTGTTGATTCTAACCGTGTTAGGTTAGCTGGCTCATACTAAATATGCAATAAACTTCAGAAAGAGAGACCAGGTCAGGAATGAATAATTGCTGAGTTCTTTACTTTCCAAAGTTCTTTGTGACCCCATTTGGCTGACAAACCTTGTACATTGTGAAATATTTGGAAAGGAAAGTTTCTGGCATTGCCTATATCCTACATGTGTCTAACATCTCTCATAAATAAAAAAAATTCTCTCATAAATACAAAAATAAAATAAAATCTCTCTGAATATTCAATCACATTAATTAGTTTATCACAGCACAGCCAACCCATGCACCTCCAGGCCTTGTACAAGTTCACTGTCCATCATCCCTTACAATAATATTGGGTATGATACCTCAATCTCCTGGGAATGCTGCTCCAGCAATATCTAGAAGGCTATATAATAGCACTAGCACTTAGACTTATATACTACTTCACAGTGCTTTACAGCCCTCTCTAAGCAGTTTACAGAATCAGCATATTTTCCCCAACAATCTGGGCCCTCATTTTACCAACCTCAGAAGGGTGGAAGGCTGAGTCAACCTTGAGCCTGGTGAGATTCGAACTGCTGAACTGATGGCAATCGGCAGTCAGTAGAATTAGCATACAATACTGCATTCTAATCACTGCACCACAGTGCATACAAAAGCGTTCATGGATTAGAAGTCCTCTTCCTCAAAAGCCCAAAACTTTCTTACAAAATGTATTAGGATGGGTTTGGGATTGGCTAAAAAGACTCCATCTCTATATTTTTTAAATAAAGTGTTTCTTTGATAGAGATAGCAGTTGAGTAACTGTGAGAGGGATCTTGGAGTCCTAATGGACAATCACTTAAAAATGAGTCAGCAGTGTGTGGCAGCAGCCAAAAAAGCTAATACAATCCTTGGTTGTATAAACAGAGGCACGATCAAAATCACGTGAAGTATTAGTACCATTTTATAAAGCCTTAGTAAGGCCACACCTGGAATACTGCATCCAATTTTGATACCATATTACAAAAAAGATGTGGACACTTCGGAAAAAGTGCAAAGAAGAGCAACTAAGACGATTAAAGGCCTGGAAACAAAAACATATGAAGAACAGTTGCGAGAATTGGGTATGACTAGTCTAGACAAAAGAAGAACTAGGGGATGACATGATATTGTGTTTCCCCCAAAATAAGACCTAGCTTTATTTGGGGGGAGGCAAAAATAAGCCTTACCCCCAAAATAAACCCTAGTTTTGGCGCAAGATGCACATCTAAAAATCAAGCTAGCTAGGCCTCCCTTGGATCGATACTTGTCTTGCAAGAAGGAGCAGTTTCATTCTACAACTGAGGATGGAGCTCGGCCTGCAGAGGCCTTTCTGGAAGGCCTGTGTAACCAAGAACCAAGCTATGGATTCCATAGCTCGGTGCTCAGCTGCAGTATTCCAGGTGTGGCCTTACTAAGGCTTTATAAAGTGGTACTAATACTTCATGTGATTTTGATTCTGTGCCTCTGTTTACAACCAAGGACTATATTAGCTTTTGGGCTAATGAAACTGCTCCTTCAGCGCAGAAGAAGTGGGCCGGCTGGGCAAGGCTATTGGTGTTGCTGCTACGAAGTGAGTGGAAAAGACACGCACACAAACGAAAATAAGACCTGGTGCCTCTTTTGGTGGCAAAAAAAGAGACTGGATCTTATTTTCGGGAATCATGGTAGCAGTGTTCTAGTATTTGAGGGGCTGCCACAAACAAGAGGGGGTCAACTTATTTTTCAAAGCACCAGAGTGCAGGACAAGAAACAATGGATGGAAATTAATCCAGGAGAGAAGCAATCTGGAATTAAGCAGAAACTTCCTAACAGTGATGAGAATTAACCAGTGGAACAGTTTGTCTTCAGAAGTGGTGGGTGCTCCATCACTGGAGGCTTTAAGAAGAGAATAGACAGCGACTTTTCTGATATAGGGTCTCCTGCTTGAGCAGGGGGTTGGACTAAAACACCTCCAAGGTCTCTTCCAGTTCTATTCTAATTGATTGAGTATACAATAGCAACTCTTCTCAAGATCTGACTGTGAGCAATTTATAACTATTGTATTTCATTGGTTAAGAAGAAATAAAGACTGGGCAGAGATGACTCAACTTTTATCCCATTAAATGAGGAGAAAGAATGAAAGGGGCTGGTATTTATAAAGCAAAAAGGCTGTCTGCTCTTAGAAGGGAGAAAAGGAAGGAGTTAATTTTGAGTGCCATGATACTCAAACTTCTACTGAATTTGGCCCTACTTAGCTCATGAGCTCATAAGAACTTCCTTCTACACCTTGAAAACAAGATTTCCTCATTCCAGTGTATCTGCAACATTCCAATGAGTCCATTCTGTGTTGAATAGACTGGCTGCTACACATCTTTGTGTTCTATTTGATTCAACCCAGGTTTGGGGAAAAAACTTCAGATTCCGTATTACTGGCCTACTACATTATCAGAATTTGCTGGTACAACACATTCCTTAGGGCTTGCCGTAAGAGCACCAAAGCTTTTAGGCTTCATAGAAAATAGAGATTAGCTGAATGCTTCCTATGAGTTCAGCATAATACTAAATAGGCTTGGGATCTCTGGAGGATGAAGACAAAGTAGGGAAGCCTAGACTGGATTGAATATCTTGAGATTGATTGATAATAAATTTAATAAATAAATCCTGGGAACTTTCCTATTATATTGAGCCTGCATATATGTTGAACTCAGCGACTAGAAAGACTGGATATAAAGTGAAATAATAATAACCTCATCTCACATGAACACCAACAGTTTCTAGTAAAGGAAAATGGGCCCTACTGACATTCTTGAAGCTTGACCCCACTTGGAAGTGGGCCACTTCCATATAATAAAGGATTAGAAATGGTGAATAAACATTTAGGCAGAAGAAACATGAAATTTTAAAAATACCAGCAACAATATACAGATAGTCCTCAACTTTCAACCACAATGGAGCCCAAAATTTCTGTGGCTAAGTGAGACAGTTGTTAAGTGAGTTTTGCCACATTTTATAACCTTGCTTGTTAAGTGAATCACTGCAGTTATTAAGATAGTAACACAGCCGTTAAGTGAATCTGGTTTCCCCATTGACTTTGCTTGGCAGAAGGTCACAAAAGATGATCACATGATCCCAGGACACTGAAATCGTCATAAATATGAGTCAATTGCCAAGAATATGAATTTTGATTACGTGACCATGGGGATACTGCAACAGTTGTAAGGATGAAAAACAATCATAAGTCACTTTTTCCAGTGCTGTTGTAACATTGAACGGTCAGTAAATGAACTGTTTTAAGTACCTGTACAATATAGTGAACTAACTCTGGCTATACTGGTGTGCCTGAGGTTAAACATTGAAAGTTTAATGGAGATTATATTCAACAATATCAGCATGTAATGCCAAGTATCAATCTGATTTTGCAAGCAAATAGATTATTTACCATACTTTTTTTACTTCTAAAAAAGTTAACATAGCTGTAATGGAAAACTAGGATAAATCTATATTTTTTCAAAATTTAGATTTACTGTTCATGCTGTACCAGACATGGTAATGATTTTTTTTTTTTGCTTATGGCAAGTTTAAAAAGCATGGATATTATTGGACAACAAATAGTGTGGCTCCATTGCATCAGAATTCAGTGGTAGAGAAACAATGTGGTATAGCCCAATATATTAAGCCCAGTGTATGACAATCATTATAGAAATTAGCTACATCTTTCTTATTTCAACCAGCTGCAGAGATATCCATCATCAATATTATTTCTTAAACATTTGTTTAGACTAGGTGTGTCCAATCTTTTGGCTTGGCTGGGCCCCATTGAGTGAAGAGGAATTGTTTTGAGCCACATCTAAAATATGTAATATAAATAAATATGAATAACAAACTTTATTTTTATAGCTTTATTAGTTTTATCGGACCACATTACTAGCTATCCAGGGTTGCACGCGGCCCATGGCTCATGGGCTCGACACGCCTGGTTTAAACCCTTTCTAAAACCCTGCTTTACAGTTCTCATTTGTCAACACAATGTTATAAGGTTAAAAAAAAACTGAGTTTTTTGCTTTTATGAAAGCAATAGCATTAGCACTTAGAGTTATATACTGCTTCACAGTGCTCTACAGCCCTCTCTAAGTGGTTTTACAGAGTCAGCATATTGCCCCCAACAATCTGGGTCCTCATTTTACCGATCTCGGAAGGATGGAAGGCCTAGTCAACCTTCAGCTGATAAGAACTGAACTGCCAAACTGCTGGCAGGGGGCAGTCAGCAGAATTAGCCTGCAGTATTGCATTCTAACCACTGTGCCACCACGGCTCTTAAGATTTGAGCTATTCCACACATTGTTAATGCTTTAATTGCATACAAAAGAAAGGATTGATAAATACACTGCAAGCATGCAAGCATACAGGAAACTAGTATTGTGCTTCAAGTCACAGCCTTTTCTAAAATTGCAAAATGTTCTGGGGTGCTCCGTTCTTGGCACAACATTTGGGAGAAGCATGCCACTTCTTGACTAAAGCTTCTACCATCTAGGCAGGTGTAGCAGAGATATAACTGTTGCCTCAGTAGCTCTTAAAAACACATAAAACCTGAGTTTCCCTCAGCCAATGCAAAAATACCCGCAGTAAGTAGAATCCAATGTGTCTTGTCATGCCATAGCTCATTCTAAGTGAATAGACTGCCAGTCAGGCTCTCAAGCCACAGAAATAGGTACATACGTATAAGATCTGGATGGACACCCCCCCTGCTCCCCCTCTCCTTCCTCACTTGGTTGCTTTAATATTTGCTCCTTGAAAATGATCTTTTAAGATGCCTTATTTACCTTGTGTGGTGGCCAAGTTGCTGTCCTTTAGGATATCCATCCTGGAATTTGTGTGTTTTTTCCAAAAGTGCAATTTGTCAAAGTCCCCTCAGTGGGGCTGATATACTTCATCTCTTGTCCTTGCTTGAAGGATCTGCACAAAGCTCTGCTGCTGTGCTTAATTTATTGGACCTGAGCCTCCTTTACAGGTAAGACCTCCCCAAGGAGATTCTTATTTGCTGTAAATAGTGGTAAAATGTTCCCCCACCTACCCACTTGTCTCTGTTTACTGTATGCCTCTCTGACGGGCAAGATCTACATAAGCAAGATAGTGATCAGAGTATCAACAAGACCATTAAAAGGGACCGTTTACTTTTGGAAGGTAAACTTTATCTTCCCGACTTCCCTTGCAACACTGCCCCCAAAAAAAGAGAGAAAGAGTTCCATGTGTATCAGAAAAGCAAAACAGGGAACGTGGAAAATGGAGCAGCGGGGGTGTGGTCCCCTTAGGAGGCTCTTAATTTCTGCCCTTCTGATGATTAAATGTCCTTGAACTGATGGAACATAAAACACAGAAGTTGACTTTCAAACTGCTTCCTACTGGTTCCTTTGTTTCTGCTTGAAGGTAAAAATAGAATCAGGTGAACAGTAAATTTCACATTTCTAAATGAGTGGCTATGAGATTTAGTGTCTATGAAAACAAAGGTGCTATAAATGTATTTCAGGGCTAGTCTGGGAAGGGCTTTGGATTAATCGGTCACAGGTTTAAAATGTAATGTTGAGTAGATATATCTCAGTCTTCATCAATAAGCACATGACTTTAATTTGTAGTCTTAGTTGTATCGGAAAACAAGCACTAAAATGACATTGGTATTATATGGGAATGCAAAAGCAACTTAATGCCACTTTAATTCATGATATGATTTTTTTTTCTTCAGCTGCAGTTGCCAAAAGTCCTTCTAAGTCCTGGAAAACTACATTCATTTTCAGTGCCCCTTTCTCAATAGAGGCAGTTAAAGTGAACTTTGGGGAGATGGTCACCCAGTCTGAGCTTCAAAGAAAGGCTCAATTTTGGACCTCAGCTAACTGGAATTTTTTTTAAAATATTAAAAATACTCTTCATTCTTCCTCTGATACAGTTTTTAGTTATAGATAGGAACCTTAAAAACTGGAAATGTCCAGAACCTCTTTAGATTTCTGAGCATATCTGTGTCTGCATAATGAAGTTGGAAAATTCCTTTCCATAGTATAATAATCCTTTGCATTTAGTTTGATTCCTCATAACTTCATGGACATATAGTCTCAACAGACACTTTCAGTTCTTTGGTCTATTGATTGCTGACTGTGGCATTGGGAATCATAAAAACCTTTATCATTTATAACAGTGTTTCCCAAACTTGATAATTTTAAGGCATGAGGACTTCAACTCCCAGAATTCCACAGCCAGCAACGCTGGCTGTGGAATTCTGGGAGTTGAAGTCCACATGCCTTAAAATTGTCAAGTTTGGGAAACACTGATTTATAAAAACGTAAGTTGGCCTAATTAAGACTTTGGCCTGTCCAGCCTTCTTTTCTGACAGGGTCTAGATAGGATAATTTGCCATGGTCAGCTTGGCCGCAGGACAACTCCACACAGCCAACTCGCCACAGGGAGAACTCGCCATGAGTGGTCGCATGGAGAGCCAGACGGGTGAGTGAGTGAGTGGGTGGGCAGAGCACAGAGCAGCGGTGTCGACCTTCCCATTTTCACAGCCCCCGAATTTTCTAATCCTCCTTTAAAGTTACCCAAAACCATCACTATATTTTCAATGGGAAAATTACACAATTCAGCTATGCTCCAAATTTCTTTTTTATTGTTGTGATTTTTCCTGCTATTTAATTCTAAATAATACTAGCTTTTTAAAATTAAGGTTACTGTATCCTGGCTGCAAAAATGTGGATGATGAATAGATGGCAGCAAAGACTTTTCTGTGACTTTGCCCATGATCCCAAACTAGAATTTCTGTACCAAGAGAGGTAAGTTGCAAATATTTTTTTCCTTTGTTTCTCAACCCTCTCCCCGCTTTTTGTTCTGGTTGCATATTCTCAACATGCAGCAATATGGAGGATTGTTTCCAATATTCTCCTAGATGAATTGGACCAGGCCAACTGGAGATGTATAAAAGGAACTAATTAAAGAACTCTGAGCAAGGGATCATTCTTTCATGAGATCTTAATGGGGAGGAAATTAAAAATGCAAAAGGCCCCATTCCCTCCAGATGAGCAACGTAGTTGAATATAATGAATGTTTCATGATTACTTCATGTCAGATGTGTACTGTAAAGAGGAGAACTGAGCTCAGCATCTTTTAAATCCCATTTGCTAGAGTTCAGAACAGTGAAGAGAAAGCAAGAAATTGCGTGGCACAATGGGTTGCAGCCAAGCCCTATTCCTGGCAAGAGAATGGATGCTACCTTCTCCTTTAACCAAAATTCTACCATGCTCAGATGGCTTTTGGTATGAAAGGCATCAATAGATTGTACTCTTGAGATTTAAAAGAATCACTTGAACCAAATTTAGGGAAGCATTTAAATTGGAGATTTCCAGGAAACAATTGATGCTCCTGACACGTTAGCTTTGAACCATTATGTTATACCATATCAGTAATGACTTGGCTGTGCAGAGGGTGTCAGTTAATGAATGAATTTTATAGCACTTGGCAAGAAACAAATATGAATCGCACCATTTCATCAAAATTCAGTGGTGGGTAGTAAACATAGTATGGCCCATATATTAAGCTTGTATGTCATTCATTGTTTGAATTGGATGCATCTTTATTTTCCCAACCATCTACACATGTAACCATCATCCATATTATTTATTATATAATATTTCTTCTCAGACAAGGTTGCTTATGCAATGAACAGAACTTTTACTATGAAATATCACTGAACAGAATAAGGAGTACCAAAAACAGATGATCATTAACTTTATTGATTTAAAAAAACATTTGACTCTGTCAATAGAATCTCTGAAATAGTGACAAAATGTAGAATGCATTTTGCTGGATATGTGCTCCACCTGAGTAAGCAACATCCAGCAAAGACCACAATCAATTGGATAGCACCACGTGGTCAGAAAAAAGAGGAAGGCCAAAGAAATCCTGGTGCCAAACATTTCAGGAAGACCTGAAAAACATCAGTCTTAAATGGACGGATGCTGCAGACCAAAAACGGTAGAGTATGCTTGTAGCCTAATGTACTTAAAAAGGCAGTTTTGTTTTGATTGAGGATATTCTACATATTATGTTAATACTTTGCCTGCATCCTCCCAAAAATATTGAGAAACACACTGACACCATACAATACCTTGGCTGTATTTGATATAACATATCCACTCATTGCCCACCCTCACTCTGGGGGTATTTGTCTGACGAATTTTGTCAGTGTCTTTGAATTGTCTTTTCTAATATTATAGATGTTAGGGAGCTCCATTCAGGGCTTTGAGAGATGCAACTTATGTCTTAATTACAATTTCCTATTACCTAGACAGGCACAGTTGACAGATGTCTTTCCATATCAACTCTTTAAAGCCAACCCAAAGAATTGATCTAAACATAACCTCTAAATTTCCTTGCCAGAGTTCTACTGAGACAGATATTTTCCAGAAGAAGAATTATTTTGGCGATGACATCTTGTCAGTAGAAATTTTCTGGCTGGCTCCTACATTAAAGTCTTTCTAGTACCAAATAAATACATTTTGATTTTCCCTGACAATTAAATATATGATAGTCCTTGTGAGTGCTCTATTTTTTAGGCGACATTGTTTTTCATCTCTTCTGCTGGTTTTATCTTTATAAATGTAACTTTGACATTATTTATTGTTCTGAATATATACAGTATGGTAGAGTTTGTGTGTCTATTTGTACACAACCGTGTGTATCAACATTGTCTGAATAAAAAGTCTAGTTTTTAGAATCTTAAAGACAAATATTTAATTTACTGCTTTTCAATTTGTGAAGGAGGCTTTCCTGAGGAGCTACCAGGAATCCTGCAGTCAGAATGTACAATATGAATTTCAGAGAGGCAAGAAAGATAAACTGTTCAGTTTGCCATTGAAAGCACACTTCCTTTTAAGAGCACCACTAGTTCTCTTAAATTGTTGATATATTACTTTTAAGGACAAAGAAACCCAATTATAACTTTTTAATAGTAATTTTATTAAAATTATAATTTAAAGAATAAAATAAGAATATAAACTGTAAAAAAGTCTAAAAGAAAAAATAGAAGGTGCAGAAATGAAAAAGTAAATAGAAAAGACAAAAAAAGAATAAAGTAAAGAAAAAGAAAAGGAATAGATAAATTACTTCATTACAGGACAATACTGATCTTTATTTCTTTCAAATAATGTACTAGAACCTAATTTCTATTCATTTTTTTGTCCCCTCTCACAAAATTCTTCAAAGCTTTAACAAGCCACTTTTATAAACCCAAGATAGAAAAATCATCCAGTTCACTGTAACAGAATATATGGTTGGTCCTGGGAAACAAAGGGAAAAAATGCTGCCTGGGAAACAATGAGAGAAAAGGGGCAGGAGCCCACAGTGGCTCAACATTCAGAGAAAAAAACAACCCGTAGGAAACCGTCCTAAGCAGTTAAAAGTAGCAGACTACAAGATTCTGCTAATGTAGCCTTATAATAAAACAGAATTAGTTCTTCTGGTTATATTCCCAGCCTGGGCTACTTGGAAGGGCTGACTGTAATTTGTATATCCTCTTTCAATTATTAAGACATCAGCTGGTTTCTTTTGTATGCATAGTGTAGCATCTTTTTCCATATCATTCTTGTAACCTGTCTTTTCTAAATCCATTTTCAGATCAGTTGCAGTCTGTCAGCCCACCCAGGGAAACCAGACAGGAGACAAGATTAGATGAGCTAATTCTACTTTATTGTAAGAGCACATTAACAGAATCTTGCGCTTTGACTTCAAAGCCAAACTATTCTCTTAAAGAATAGTTTATTTCCAGACTTTTGTGCAACCTTTTTGGTATGTTCAAGAAGAACTGATTGCTGAAGAAGGTGAAAGGGTCTTTAAGAGAAATGTTATTAGAGGCCATGCCTAACATTATCCATTTAATGCCTAACAGGAAGGCCTGGAGGAACGTTGTCCATGGGGTCGCGATGGGTCGGACACGACTTTGCAACTAACAACAATAATCCATTTAATTATTAAACTTTGAACTTCCCCAATGAATGTTCTGAGGACCATTGATTGGGTTTAGAATGTGTGGCACTCTGAACAGTATATTAACAGATTTACTGTTTGAAAAGATACAACTGTATTCCTTCCTTTTTAACTTGTGCATTAAAAGATTTCTGGTAAGCATTATTTTAAGCAAGAAAATGTGCTTTCGAATATACTGAGCAAGTGAAGACAACAGAAAATTCTTATCTATCCTATGTAACCCTTCCCCCATTCCCAAAAGATTTTTAGGTCAAGGTTGAACAACATATCATCATGGTTCTAGATCAGTGGTTCTCAACCTTTCTAATGCCGCGACCCCATAATACAGTTCCCCATGTTGTGGTGACCCCCAACCACTTATACATCAATGGGTGCCAGGGGCGTGGCCAAAGAAAAGGGGGAAAAAATGGTGGACAGCCTTGTTTGGCGACCCCCGTGAAATGGTCGTTCGACCCCAAATGGGGTCCCGACCCACAGGTTGAGAACCACTGTTCTAGATCAAGGGTTCAAGGTGCTGGCCAATGGGCCAGATGCATCATAGCGAAATTGTGCCCACCCCATTGCCGGCAATGGAAAGAAAGTCACGATATGTCATGACACGTCATGAGACATTGCAAATTTGATACCCCTGTTCTAAATAATTGTGCCAATATTTTTGTTTTACATAACAAATCAACCTGCTTGGTGTTTTTGCCTTTTTATAATAGAAAATGATAGAAAGTATAAACAATGAAACCTGGGATGAATTGCTTGCCCATCTTTACAGGGACTTGATTGCAACTTTAGACAGTGGGCCCTCTGCCAAGAATATTTTTAAGACGACAGAGTATTTAGAAGAAAACACCTGAGGATGGTGGTGATGATATATCTGGTCAATAATCTAGGAATACAGATAAGTACTCCTTTATTAAGAATATTTTTATGAGAATATTACTTTCAGTATGCAGCTATTGTTCCTCCCTCTTCTTTGCAGGTATAGATTAGGAAGCTAGTATTGTCTTCTTTATTTTACATGTTTTGGATAGGAATATGATAAGAGGCAAGTGACTAACAATACAATGATATAGTCAAGAAAGTTTGCAAAGTTACCTCAGCTAGCTAAACAACCCTTTCTTACATAGGTATCTGATATGTACAAGTAGTCCTCGACTTACGACCACAATTGAGCCCCAAATTTCTATTAAGTGAGACATTTGTTAAGTAAGGTTTTGCCCTATTTTATGACCTTTCTTGCCACAGTTATTAAGCGAATCACTACAGTGGATAAGTTAGTAACATGGTTGTTAAGTGAATCTGGTTTCCCCACTGACTTTGCTTGTCAGAAGGTTGCAAAAACTGATCACATGACCCCGGGACACAGCAATGGTCATAAGTATGAGCCAGTTGCCAAGCGTCTGAATTTTGATCACATGACCATGAGGATGCTGCAAAGGTTGTAACTGTGAAAAACGGTCATGTCATTTTTTCCAGTGCTGTTGTAACTCTGAATGGTTACTAAATGAACTGCTGTAAGTTGAGGACTACCTGTACCTAAGGAAAAACTACCTATCTCCTCATCAATCTTTCAGGATGCCAGTATAATAAAGAAAGCCTAATAGTGTTGAGCAGAGATCTATGCCTCCTGCTTTAGAATTGCTTTCTGATGGGCGGCATTGCATGCTGTGTATCATGGGATATAATAATGATAATAATAATGATGATGATAATGATGATGATGGCATTGTTACATTAGGAGACCACAATGCTATAGCAGTGTAGTAGTTTGGTTGTCAAGTTATCAGCATTGTTGTGCCACAGGAGAGTGAGCTGACTTCGCACCAGAAAAAAAAGGCAAGTTGCTCCTCCTGCAGCATCATCCAAGGCTCCTTCTCTCTCTGGAACTGCCTCACAAACAGGCACTGCAACTGGGAAGATTCAGAGCTGGCAGGAATCTGACTGCCTGCACAGAGCACCAACATCGTCTTCCCGTCAAAGTAGTACCTCTTTATCTACTCACACAGAACATGATTTCAAACTGCTAGGTGCGGAGAAACTGAGGTGTATGACGGGAGCTCAACCGGGCACACAGTGCCAGGACTTGAACTGCTGGAGAAAGACCATCTCCAAGCCACTGAGCCACCATGCCTCTAATGGGATGCCATTCATTTCTAAGGACAAAGTGATAATAGAAAGAAACTGTGCTTTACTAATTTCAATGGTCCAGGATTTCTAGGTATTGTATCAATATTATTTATGGCTATTTTAAAGCACTTGGGTCAATATGAGGTGGAGACAGACTATGCCTTTATTTCAGTAGTACCCAACCAGTTGTTTTCATAGCTCCTCTTGTTTCTTATGGGCTTTCATATCCATGGCTCCTTTCATTACCTATAGTGAGCATTAAGTTTCAGTATATATCCTTTCCTTGTCACCAAACCTTATGGCTTAGATTTGGGCCCTACAAAGCCATGTGCAGAACGAAGAGTTAGGGAAAAAAGGTTCAATCTTGGAGAAAAATGCTGTTGGGTGTTTAAAAAAAAAAAAAAATAGGCAGTTCAGCCACTGAATGCCTCATCATCTCTCCCATGATTCTGACACAAAATTTGGCTTCCGGGCAGATAAGAAAAAAAAACTTTATGGACATTTTGAAAGCCAATGAATTGTTAAGGCACAAACTTTATGTGTGAGTAGTACCTTATCAGCTATATGAAACGCGGCTCCAAATTATCTAAATTCTTATAAGGACCGGAATTTACAAACGTTATCATGTTTGTGAGCAACGCAAGCTCCACCTTTTTGGATTCCCTTTCCCCCATTTGGTTTTGCAAAAAGGAAACGTCTCCTTAAGTCAGGGATCCCCGTCCAGGATGCAGATTACGATTCCTTCGTGGGGAAAGCGCAAGTTTAGAGACCGGATTTCTAACCCCGAGCCTCGAAAGTCTGAATGGCCACACGCTTTTCTCTCCGACTCAATCCAGTTCCATCTCGAAGATGCCTTCGCCAATCATCCGAAGGGGGCGCTGTCATAAATTGAGCCTCGGCACGCCTCGTAGTCAGGTGATCGGAGCCGGAAGAGTTCCCGGCCGAGCAGATAGTAGACTTCGGGAAGCCTGCAGTTGCCGGCTGCCGTGATGTCTGCGGAGCCTTGGTGAGTGACGGAGGGTGCAGAGGGCCATTTGGGCAGGCTGGTGGCGAGTCCCAGCAGGCAGAATAAGTAAAGTCAAGGGAGACAGGCGGTCTTCGGCTTGGGCCTGAGGGCAGCCCACGAAGGACGGCCCCCCCTTGCTGCTCCTCCTCTTCGGCATTGCGCATGCTTCCTGCTTCCCCGCTTTGCCGCTAAAAGTGCTTGGCGAACGAGGGGGCGAGATGAAATGCGCACCTTTTCTTGGAAGGCATTGGTCTCAATCTCTGCAACTTTAAGAGGAGTGGACTCCAACTCCCAGAACTCCCAGCCAGTTGAAGTACATCCCTTTGAAAGAGGACGAGGTTGAAAAACATTTCTATAAAACATGACTCCCATTCCTTCCTCTACCTCGGTATTCTGCTCTTCCTCTTCGGTTTAATAAATGGGAGAATTTCTACAGGCAGTGAAATTGAGTCTCCTGTATTATTTTGGTGTAGTAGAAGAAATTAAACATGCTTGCTTTGAGGACCAAAATTGGATGTGGTAGCATGTTTTTGGACTAACGGTTTTTATTACATTTTATATGTGTTTATGCCTTTTATAAAAATGGTTAGTTCAAAAGGTGCTACTAGCTTTCTGATTTTGGGATATCGCAGCTCACATATACAGCTTTCTTCCAGCAATGTCTATTTTAGGACAAAGTTTGCTATGACACATTAAGTATCTAAATATGTCTACTATATATTATGTTTGAATTAGAGTCTGCAACATTTATTTCCTAAAACATAAACTGTTTTTAGTACTTTTAACATATCCAAGTTCAAGAACATTTGAAATTTAAAAGATTTTGAAAAAAATCTTTTACAAAGTCTTTGTCATTTTTTCACAAAACCTATGCATTGTATGAACTATCCCCATGGTCTATTTTAAAGATCTAGTGCAGCGGTTCTCAACCTATGGGTCACGACCCCATTTGGGGTCGAACGACCATTTTACGGGGGTCGCCAAACAATGCGATCCGCCATTTCCCCTCCTCAGGGGGCGGCGCCGTGCATGCGCGGCGCGCACGGGGGCAGCGCCGTGCATGCGTGCCGCGCCGCGCATGGGGCAGCACGTTCGTGTGACGGTCGCCGTCACACAAACGTTGAGAAACGCTGATCTAGTGGCTGAGTTAATATACATAATGACAGAATTACAGTGTTCAGTAATGTATTTTACTAAATCATATAATGTGTAATGTAATTATTGATCCTCCAGACTTTGGAGAAATGTTCAGGAAACATTGGGGCTGTATGGCCATTGCCTTGTGGAAATAATCTACAATAAGAATCTCATGCCTGCTATCAAGCAAAGAGGTCTTAATATTATGGTTAAGAGATGTTTTGCTGTCTCAGAACCTGGATGCTGTTGCTGAAAGAATACTTTTTGTTTCATATCAGATAATTCTACAAGGTACCGTATATCCCACAACTTAATCTGAAATTTAACATAAATGGTGACACACACCCCCAATACAGATAGTCTGCAAAAAAAATGGATGATGAAGAATAAGTTAATTTCTTTGGAGTGGCCACATTAAAGTCCAAGTCTATTCAAATATGGTAAAATATAAAAGAGCAGTTCATGCAGGAAAACCTGATTTATTAAATTTATATGCTGCCCATCTCACTGTCAGGTGATTCTTGACAAAACTTTCAAAAAGCTTCACCATGGAGCAATGTGCCAAAATTCCTACAGGAAAAAAGAGATCATTAATTACAGGAAGTGTTTGATTGCAGTTATTGCAGCTAAAGGTGATGTAATGGCTTAGTGCAGGGGTGGTGAACCTATGGCACGTGTGCCAGAGGCGGCACTCAGAGCCCTCTCTGTGGGCATGCGTGCCATGCCCCGGAGATGGCAACCGTCCCTCTTCAACCAGCCACCCGCTAACTCACTGAGGTCCCACATGGCCGGATATATCCCAGCACGGCTGGTTTCCCTCCCCCCCTGTCCCATCCCTCCTGGCCTCGCATGCTCTCCTTTTCCCGGGCATGACCCACTGCATTGCCTCCTCAGCTGTTGGCCGGCTGCCCAGCTCAGTGGCGGCTTCTCTGAACTGCTGGCGGTAGGTTGCAGAGCCCCAGAGTGTGCCGGTCAAGGGGCTGGCAGGCTGTGGCTACTGACAGACACTGTCGGCCGCCTTGCGCTCGCTGGCCTCTATGTGCAGGGGCCAATGGTGTCAGGCAGCAGCCCTGCGACAGTGGCACCCCCGCCCTGCCTCGTCTCACCCCGCAGGATGAGCCTCCTACCCACTGCCCCACCCACCAGAGACCCCCTGGATGTCTCCCAATCCTGCCCAGGCCCCACAGGCATCCCTCCCCATGAGCAACATCGAGGTGACCACGCCCACCTTGGGCCACGCCGACCTGGCAACCGGCGATAAATAAGTGGGTTTTGGGTTGCAGTTTGGGCACTCGGTCTCTAAAAGGTTCGCCATTACTGGTTTAGTGAATTAAATTAAGACATCACTTTTTCATTTTGGCATTATAGGTTAGCCTTAATAGGATGGCTCTTTTTGAAATAAATAAGACGTACCTGAAACATTATTAGTATAGTGAAATTTCCTGTGTATTTCGGTAGGATCCACATATGTTGATGACATTCAGTGGCAAAAATATGCAAACATTTAGAAAATTTGAAAGTGTATACAACAAAAGTTGCTCATGATTTATGTCAGATGGAATCAGGTATATTGTGCAAACACATCCATAACATAATTTGCTTGGCTTGGCTTGACTTACTGTAAAGTATAATTATTGTATATGAATAATGTTTTTCAATTTGGCAATATGTGTGATCAAGGCCACTGTGATTTGTTCAGCAAATCATCTTTGATTATCATAGACCCAAGGAGGCCCAGTTTTAGTTGGATATCATAACTGTAACTAATAATTATAATTATATATAATTATATAATATATAATAATTATATAATGACAACAAGTACTTTTTAGTTTTTTTATAAAACATTTCTGTATTGTCTTTTGCACATCAAAAATGTGGGCATGTTTCATAGTACAAGTAACTGACCACTTGAATACCACTAAAATGTTTTTTTTTAAAAAAAACAAAACATCCTAATAATTTCTACTTAAATTAATAGGATTCAATTTTCAAAAATATTCTGAATACTATTGCAAAATAAACATAATTGATTTTAAATATTGTTTAGTAACACCTAAATATGCGCACATCAGCAATTCAGTTAATCAGATAACATTTATCCTGATAAAAATGTAATGCCCAAAATAATATGTAAAGTAATATATAATTTAATTAGCAAGTTATAAGAAAATGAGCACAATGAAGAAAGTTGATATTTCAAAATATAAATTGCAAATTGCAGCATGAATTCTGATAGCTATAAAATATAATGTATTATAGTAATTGCAGTAAAACATTTTATTTATAAAAATGGAATTGTATAAACTATTAATAAAATGAAGCAACCTTCATATTGGAAAATGAGAATAAATTATATTTCTTAATTTCTTAGGAAAAGAACCCTCTAAATTTAAAGAAGTTTTGATTTTCTATGTGTTGAGATTCTGATTCCTTACAATATGCCCTAAATTTGAAAACAAAATTGAGACTTTTTTTAGAACTAACTTATTTCTCTTATATTAAGAGTTATTATGGTGTCCTTGAACTACTACCATAGGTGAGATTCTTTATACTATAGTAAAAGTTGTTTGTGTTTGTGCATATTGCCTCGTTTTCATACTGTATGTATCCCTTTGCTTGTATGAAAGATAATCACTCTAGTTTGCTACCTAGGATCTTTTCTATCTCCATCTGATAAAATAGAGAAATGAAAGACCAGTTCATACTTCATAGCTTTGGGTGTACCAGCCATATTTATATCAATTTATAGGACCAGTTTTTATATAAACAGTAGCCTTGGCAATCCATAATAGATGTTTAAAAAGTAAATTCATATGTTAACATCAATATAAATCAAATTCCTCATTTTCTACTCATTTAGTAGGACACACACACACATATACACAGAGAGAGAGAGAGAGAGGGAGAGAGAGAGAGAGAGGGAGAGAATTTCCTGTACTTCATAGTGGTTGATATCTTTAACATTAATAGATTATTTGCTACAACAGGTGGTTGGTATAAAAAGTCTAAACAGGAAGGAATGGAAGCAAACTTCTTTTGAGGAAACTGAGGCATATAATAAAAGCTGTCCAAAGAACAGAGAGATTTTACTGCTGTTTAATATTATCTCTGTCTTTGTTTTTTTAAAGGTTGTTGTTGTATGATTCTGCTTGCCATATTGCACAAGAGATTGCTGAAAAAATTCAAGAACGCAACAGATACCAGAGGAGTGGTGAAAGTACAACTAAGGTATTGCCTGCCTCTTTGCTTTAGATTTTTTATAATTTTTAGTATCCACAATAAGGGAATACATTGTGATTGCAATGTATTCTTTGTGATTAATGCAAAGCTTTTTTTCTGTGGTAAAGCCTTCCCATGACAAGTTTCCAAAAGGATGTTCATTACAGTTCCTATGTCAGTACACAACAAAGATTACAAAAGGAAATTATGAACTGAGAAGCTTAAAAGAAACATTTTTTAAAATGTTGATTTTGTTAACTACTTCTAACAATGAATGCAAAACAAACTTAAAAGTCTCTTTCTGAAATGATTCAAGAATATTTATTAGCTGTTGATATTATAGCTTTATAGCAAGTGAAAAAGCATTTTTTTTCAGGACAACATTTGGGAAATGAATCCTCAATATTGAAATAGTCATACACAATAACAATAATAATTAGGAATATTAAATGCTGGTTGTTAAAGAAAAATCCAGATTAGTATGGAAAAGCATACAGTGTGTTTCTATTAATCACACTTAAGTTTGTGTGGGAAGTTATTGCTTTAGGAAATATGTGTGTAGCAATCTTTAGATCCCAACTCTAGATCTCTAGATATCACTGTTAAAATGATATGTATAGATCTTATAGTTTCAGGGGTAATTTGATTATTTCTTGATCATCTCTTTTCCCTCATTGGGACTGGATTTACTTTTATAAAAAGGAATGAGCAATTAGAACAAGTACTTGTGTGATTGCATATGTCTATAGTCAGGATATGAGATGAGAACTAATGCTTCTCATCTAGCTTTCTCTTCTGTAAAAATCTTGGCTTAGCTTGCAAATGTTTTGCACAGCTGACAAATGAGTTTATCAAGAAAGCTTTGTATATTCATAAAGTTGGAGGTGCTTCCTCAGGATGATTAGAGAGCCAGAATTTGAATCCAGTATAAACAGACCTTAAACCATGACTATATATATTGCCATAACAGTTGATGTTATGGGTTGATGTTGAGAAACGCTCAGATCAGTCATGCTGTTTTAATAAAGAAAAATGCCTTTCTACTCTATCAGCCAAGCAGGGTAAATGTCAATAGTATCTTGTTTTTCATGAGATTTTGCCACTTCTGCTTTAGAAAAAATAATATGAGAAAATGTAATTGAAATTAAAAGACAAAGAGAAGAAGGAATATGGAAAAATACATGTGCTTTTCTCCTACTCTTTCCCTCTTTTTCCACTCTTTTGGTTGACTGATGACTATTTTTCTATGGAAATATAAAAAAATAACTCCTCACAACTGAGCACCTTGTAATAAAAATATTTGCACAATATAACAGGCTAAAATATGGTTGGCTAGTTGTATTGTATGAAGCCAGCCTATAATTGAAGTCCTATAATTGAAATTGCTCTTGTATTGAGTGGGTGTACTTTTTAGCAGAATGTGGGCTCTTGTTTCCTTTATAACTTCCAGCTGCTTTGTCATAATGTACAAATCTGCTCTCATAAGCAAACTTATTTGGACATAAATCCAAGTAAGTGTGTTTAGTGTGGATTGATAATGAGTCTGCCATAGCCCCCTTTTGATAAATGTGTCCAAAACAGAACCTTTGTTTATATTGTTAGGTTTCAAGAGATTGGAGGGCCAGGGGAGTACTGATTCACAATGAGTTTTAGTCTGAGAAAGGTCTTGTGAGTGGATGGCATTGCTTCATTATCTTAGATTATAGTGACATGAGATTCTAGCAATTCCTGGACATTAACTATGTTAACTGTCAGTTTTTACCACCTTTGTGCAATTTGCTGCCCTTTGATTCTCAGTGGATCTCAGCAAGGAAGCTGCTCTGCTACATTCAGAACCCTGACCCAGAATGGGGCTACTGAAGGACGATTTAGAAGCAGTTTCCCCCTCAATGCACAAGGCATTGTAGATGAGGACCAGCTCTCATCCAATCATGCTATATTCCTGAAAAGATTGGTTCCCTTCATCAATTTCTGTACTGAGGCTTTCTTCATTCTGTGAAGAAAACTTTAAAGACTTTTTTTTTAACTCTCTGAGAATTTTTGGCTTATCACTAGTCCTTAAAATAGTATTTTGGACTTTTCCAAATCCAGAGAGTAGAGCTGTCATTTGCTTGTGGGTATTGCACACACAATTATTGTCACAAAAAAGGAAAAGCTGTATCGAAGTTAAAAATCAGCAGAGTCAGGAACAGCTCAGGAACATGAGATAGCATAAAGACAGTGTAGTTTAAGAATAGATATATTGGTAATTTTTTAAACAATTTGATTTGTATTCATTATTCCTTCCTTTGGATGTTATTCTGTCTTTGTGAAACAGATAAACCATGCTGTGTCTTATCTTTCTTTCTCCCTCTCTAGGTCAATGTTGCAGTCAGGTCGTTATTGCAAAATCTTGAAGAAAAAAATAATCGTCTGAAAGACTTGTTGTTTCACTCTGTATCAACACGTCAGCTGTATCCATGTAAACAGTTGTAACTGGAAGTCCAATATGATAATTATGGTTCATTTTATTTTGGAAAACCCCTACCTGATTCACCCATGTTTTTAAAAATCCCTCAATTTGGGGAAAACCCAACTATAGGAAGTATTCCGACTTTTATCTTTATTCAGTTTACTTTTCATTTCCTGTTCAGGGCCACTCTCCAAAATACCTGTAGGCTGCACTCCAAAGTATATCCATTTTTATGGACAGTTAACATTTTAAAAGTGTGAAATGGATACCCTAAGCCTTTGCAAAACTATGGTGTTAGTTTTGCCTCTTAAATTCTTTCCCAGATCTTCCTAAATTCAAAAAATGATTCTGCGTAATTTGTGTAGACTCTGAGGACTACAAAAGCAGTGTTGGGACCCTTACACTTCTGCAATCCTCCCTGATATACATGCCTGTTTGGAGTGTAATTGCACCCCCTTTGAGCATAAATTGACACTCTCTTTGATAACAGCAAGTGTGAATCAGGCTTCTGCATCTGCTATCATGGTTTATATTTTAAATACATGTGCTTGTTTTATAATTTGTCCTAGACATTGGATTGAAGATGAACTTTTTTTTTACCTTTGTAGTCCTTTTCTGTGTACAAATTATTTTATAGTTCTTATTTTATAAATGCATAAAAGTAACACACTTTATAAAACAGGATTATTGCAAAAGAGATGATTTGTGATGTTTGTGAGAAGCTTAATTTTTTTACTTGAGTTTCCTTACTCAGGATGTAATGTTCTGTTCTGTTGAGTACATGGGTAGCCTTCTTTATCTATTTGATTAGTTTTTTTAATCAAACAATGATCCTTAATCCAGTTCTTGCAGAACCCAGAGAGAAGGAGAAAGACGGCAAATTTTAGTAGATGAACTTTTCACGGCGCACAGAAAACTCCAAGCATCTTTCCAAATTGAAAATACAGAACCCGATGTAATAAGGTATAGTATTGCAGATGAGCGGCGAATACAGTGACATAATCTTGAAAACGTTTCTGAAGAACCTGTGTTCCTCTACCCAATTTACAGGAATGTTAAGTACACACAGATGATATGATACAACTGATTTGACATTTGTCTGATTGAAGCAAGTAGCTGCTTCCTTCTGTACCAAGCACTCTTCAGTGTGACTACTAACATGGTGATGGCACTGTCTCTATTTTTAACAGTGGTGTTAGCAAGTTAAAGATTAGAAGAACGATCTGTGCAGGAAACTAGGTCTACAGGTAGTCCAAGTTTAACAACCACAATTGGGACTGGAATCTTATTGAGGAAAAGATCATTAAGTAAGATATCACGTGACTGTTTTGCTCAACAACTGCAATCAGGGCAGTTTCGCTTGCAGTCATTCAGCAATCTCACCATTCATTGAGTGGAGGGGATCCCAAATAAGGTGCACGGGAGTGCCTCAGGGAGGTGGGGGAAGTCTTTCAGGGCTCAGTGTAGGCTATGCATGAAGCAGCCAGACACATCCACAAAGGGCTGAACACTCAGAGCCTCCACAGTGGGGCACAAAACATTTGCCTGGCAAGATGTTCCAAATGCCATGAGTCTCCAATGGCACAGCACAAAGCAACCATCCCCCCAGTTAACCACCAAACCCATGGGAAGCCCCATCCAAGCCATCTGTGCTACCTGAACTTTGCTACTCCAGCTGATCCTCACTGTTTTCTTCCGTTTACTGCTTATGTGGTGCACCCAGCCTGACCCTTTATAAAAAAGAAGACACAAAAATTCTAAAGGCATCTGCTCAGCTTCAGTGTCCTAAAATGCCTCTTTTTGCTGGGCGTTTAAGGGCAGAGATAGAGGGGAGTTTCCCCTTTTCCATAGTTGGTTGTAAGTGAAAGCAGACTGCCAAGCACTGAATTTTGATTGTGTGCCTGTTGGGGCACTGTAGCGGCTGTAACTTTGGACACAGGTTGTAAATCCTTCATTCAGCACTGTTGTAATTTTGAATGATCACTAAACAGATGATTGTTAAGCGAGGACTATCTGTAGTTATAAAATCTAGTCTATTTGGTTTTTTTCAAAGATTTAACTTTGAGCCCTCGTTTTCCTCCTGTATGAGCCGCTTGATGGCTGAGCACACAGCAACAGTCTGAGAAGGAAAAGGTTGTCCTCTGTCAGAAAGTAGAAAAGGTATATAAGTTGCTGACTTGTGATCTTAGCCTCTTGGTCCACTCTACAGGGTCATACTTTTCAGAGAAATGACCTGGGTGATGTTAGTTACAGGAGAGGCATGTTTCCTGTGATATATTCGACAACTTTCTGCTTTTAGATCAGGGCTTTTCAACCGGTGATACCTGGCAGGTGGTACGCGGCCCTACCCAGCCTAGAGGGTAGGGGATGAGCCAAAGTGGCACAGCGCAGGGCTTGCCGTGAGAGAAGCTACAGAGCTGGGTCGAGACAAAAGCCCCAGGATCGGCACTTCCAGCTCACCCGGAAGAGAAAAGAGGAGGGGGGGGGCGGAGACAGGAAGGGATATAAAAGGAGGCAGTTTTGGCAGGAGAGAGAGAGAAAAAAAGACACTGGAGAAAGAGGCAAAAGAGAAAAGGCTTTTGTCAGAGAAGCGGTGTGAGAGAGAGAGGAAAGGCCTTTGGAGAGGCCTGTGCATGAGAATGGGGAGGATTTTGGAGGGACGTGTGTGTGTGTGTGTGTGTGTGTGTATGTGTGTGTGTGTGTTTGTGTTTGTGTGTGTGAGAATGGAAGGATTTTGGAGGGACATGTGTGTGAGAAAGAAAAGGCTTTTTGTGAGAGAAGCTGTGAGGAGAAAGGGAGAAGAAAAGAGAAGGAGGGAGATGCAAATGAGAAAGAGGGAAGGAGGGAGGGAAAGATCCTAACCCTAACCCTCTCCACCAGAAACCCCTGGATCCCCCCACAGGCGCCCCCCGACCTGAGCAATGTAGAGCTGGCCACACAGCCCCATTCCCCCCGACAGTAACCACAATGCTGATGTGGCCATCAATGAAATCAAGATCAACACCCCTGATATAAAAGGACGCGGGGGAGGGAGAGGATATAAAACAGACATGTCAAACACAAGGCCCGGGGGCCAGATGCGGCCCGTGAAGTGGTTTCATGTGGCCTGTGAAGCCATCCTGGAAATAGTGAGGGAATGGCCCCTGTTGCCTTGGCCCTGGCCCAGGCCGGACGGGAGGGAGCCAATGTACAATTTTGTGGTGGCCATCTATGCTGAAACGCATTCAGTCTTAGCTCCACAAGGCCATCTGGAAACAGCGAGGAACCAGCCCCTGCCGTGTCGGCCCCGCCCCCTGGGTGCATACTGGGGAGGTGTCACCCTTTGTGAGTAATGAAGAAATGCCTCATCACCTGCAAGTGGTCCTGGTCCCACCCCATTCTGCCAGAGACCCTCAGATCTGTCTCACTCCTGCCCAGGCCCCCACAGGCACCATTGACACGAACGATGTAGAGCTGGCCACGCCCACCCAGTAGGCCACACTCACTCCATCCACGCCCACTCAGTAGGCTGCATCCACCCTGCCCCTCCACCCCCCCATCCCCCAAGGGCAACCACAGTGCTGATGCAGCCCTCAATGAAATCTGGTTTGACACCCCTGATATAAAAGGAGAAAGGGTGAGAAATTTGTTAAATGAGATTTTCCCCATTTTATGTCTTTTCTTGCCACATTTGTTAAGTGAATCACTGCAGTTGTTAAATTAGTAACACAGTTGTTAAGTGAATTTGGTTTCCCCATTGACTTTGCTTGTCAAAAGGTTGCAAAAGGGGATCATATGAACCCAGGACACTGCAACCATCACAAATATGAATCAGTTGCCAAACATGCAAATGTAAATCACATGACCTTGGGGATTCTGCAATGGTCATAAATGTGAGAAATGGTCATAAATCACTTTTTTCAGTGCCATTGTAACTTCGAACAGTCACTAAGCAAACTGCTGCAAATTGAGGACTACCTGTACTAGATCACTTTTTTCCTTTTGGGGGGGGTCATCAAGTTTTTGACACCTTGCTAGGTGACTGGTGGTACTCAGATACTGCCATATCCTAAAAGTGGTACAATGGGTGAAAAGGTTGAAAAGCCCTGGCTTAGGTGAAATCTTTTCCTGAAGGTGTCTGCTGCCTCTTCCTTCTTTTCCTCATGACATAAAGGGACTGATGCTATAATATCAATAATAAAACAATAAAAGATGAAGTTGAGGAGAATCAAATGGTCTGAAATTGAACAGTAAACAAAACAGTGGTAGAATAAAAAGGCTTTCAGGGGAAGCTCATTATAAAGGTTGTAACCACATTACCATGTTTCTTCCAATCTCTGCTTAGAAATAATGGAAATTGCAGACTGGTACTCTGGAAGCTTCAGAAAATTAGAAATAACAATTGGAGAAAGCTACAGAATCGTAAGAAAAGAAGCAGCTAGCTTGTCGTAATTGCGTGTGTGTTTGTACACATGTGTGATCAATTTCACCTGTCTTCACGATTGAAATATTTATATCTGTTCTCACAAACATGGATAGCTCATATGGTTGATTCCTGTATTACAGATCGTAATGGGACAACTCTCCGTGGCCAGCTTGCCACAGGACAATTCAACAAATACAAATGTTAAATTGATTTTGACAGAACCGTGGCCAATAATAATAAAATTAATTCAATACAGGAGTTACAATAATTTCAATGAAAATGTTGCCAATAATAAAAGTAACTGATTAAATAAATGATTAATACAGCGTTGAATTGTCCCCTGGTGAGTTGTCCTGTGGTGAGCTGACCATGGCAACTTGGTTGTGGAAAATTGTCCTAGATTCTTAACAGATTTACCAAATTGCATGCCACATGTCATGGGAATTTCAGTCAAGGAAATACCAGTGATGGACACAGAAATTGATTAAGGCAAGCAAGAATTAATACCAAAGATAGATATTATGTATTGGGTGGTGGAAAGAAAAGGAAATCCATGGAAAAGAAATAAATAGGTGTGCATAGTTGAATCTTAGCAGAATGGCCTTGTGTTCTTTGACATTCTGTTTGGAAACAGGCAGAGGGAAGAAAAGCTGACAGTACAGTCACTGAAATCTAGAATTATATGCTACAAATTGACATTTTAAGTTCTTAAACGACCATTTTATTCTTGCTTTGTTGTGACTCTCACATATCTGAAGGTGAAGGTAGTGTCAACAAACTTCAGAAGAAGGGCTGACTGCTACACATTTGATCAGGCAAATCAGTGCAAGAAGTGAGTTCTGTACTGACAATATAGTCTTGCAATATTTGGTCACTATATTTTATTCTTCAGATTATTGTTACTAGCCACAATTGCGTTCCTGATACGGAGTGCTAAATTGCAAAAAAGACTGTTCGGATTTTGATCCCCTACCCTGTTTTCTAAAAGCTTAAAATAGTTCACAGATTTATACTAAATGCTATATACTAAAATTAAGCCACTTTAGATCGAGAAATTATATTCTGATTTGTTGTCGTTGCCGAGAGAAGTACTGTGGGAGATTATGTCATTAATTGTTCTGTGGCCTTGGTAACTAGTACAGTATCTTCTCAGCTCTTCTGACTTTCACTCTGATTGATTGTTTCCTTATTGCTGTTTGCTTGTTGCCCACTCCAATAACATCAGGTTCAGAATCTATTTATATGAAACACTTGCTTGGGGGGAGGGGGGGAAAAACCTTTGTGCATTGTTAAGCATCAGCTCTGATGAACTGCCAGTAGTGGGAACATGCCACCGTTGAGAAAATCATTCTACACCATAAATAATTCATCTTTATGAATATTTATTCTTTCAAAAGCTAATCCATGTATTTATCCTGTTTTTTTTTCTTTTGAGTAAGCAGTGTTATGCAGAAAAGGAGCAAGCAGTAGAAGGCCTGACAAATTAAACATATGGGGGGAGGAAGGAAAGAACTAAAACTGGTTTATACCAACACTCTTATATCCTTGCAAACTGTCT